CTTTTTCAAACTTATGAACAATTCAGTATTTGGAAAGACAATGGAGAACATTGAAAACAGAGTTGATGTAAGATTAGTTACAAAAAGAGAAGAAGCTATTAAATTATCATCAAAACCAAATTATGAAAGTAGAACGATATTTGATGAAAATTTAATTGCAATACATATGAAAAGAACAAAACTTGTATATAACAAACCTATTTACTTGGGTATGTGTATTTTAGATTTGAGCAAAACACTAATGTACGAATTTCATTATGATTACATAAAAAATAAATATGGAGATAAAGCTAAACTATTATATACAGATACAGATTCATTAATCTATGAAATAAAAACAGAAGATTTTTATAAAGATATTTCTAATGATATTGAAAGTAAATTTGATACAAGTGAATTTAATAAAGATCATCCAGCTGTTCAAAATGGATTTAAAGTAAGTGTAAATAAGAAAGTAATAGGAATGTTTAAAGATGAGTCAGCAGGAAAACAAATTACGGAATTTATTGGACTCAGATCAAAGTTGTATTCTTACAAAATAGATGAAGAAGATAAAAAGAGATGTAAAGGAGTAAAGAGAAATGTAGTAAAAAATTATATTACACATGAAGATTATAAAGACTGCCTTATAAATAGGAGAGATCAAATGAGAAAAATGAATGTCATAAGATCTCATTTACATGATGTTTATACTGAAGAAATAAACAAAATAGCATTGAGTGCAGAAGATGATAAAAGAGTAATTCAAGAAGATGGTATTCACACATTAGCATATGGACATTATAAATTAAAAGAGAATAAAACATTGGTTCCTTCAGAACCCAAACCCAACTTTTCATTTCAAATTGATTGGAAATAAACAGGCAAGCAGGCAAACACGCAGGTAAGTTATTTTTTATATCTTAAAAAGATCTAAAAAAATCTAAAACTATTAATAAAAATGGACAAACATATCAATGTTGAAGGAATTATATTGCCAAATGTACCCTTAACAAACTTTCAGTTAATAAAAGCAGCAAAAAAATTAAAAATTAAAAATTTTAGAGGTGTATTTGTAAGAGATGAATTACCTAAAAATACACAAAACAAAGAATGTGGAATATTAAATACTGGAGATTCAAGTACGAATGGATTTCATTGGATTTGTTGGTATAAAGATGGAGAAGAAAAATTAAGTTTTGATTCTTATGCATTACCACCTCCAGTTGAACTTGTTCAATATTTACACAGTCCTGTTTATTATAATAGTAAAAGAATTCAGTTTGGAGACACTTCTTTTTGCGGACACTTGTGCCTTTATGTATTAAAAAAGCTTGATGGAAGGTGTTGATTTTCAAAGTATTGAAAACTCATTATACTGAATTAAAAAAAATATAGTATATAAAAAATGAGTATGAATATAGCCGGTAGTAATTCATTATATGGTTACACAACAGATGGATTAAATATCAACATTAATGTTGGCAATACAGCCACTACTGATGTTGATTTGAATTCACATAAATTAATCAATGTAGCTGATCCTACAGATGCACAAGATGCAGCTACAAAGTATTATGTAGATAATAATCAAACTTCTAGCAGTGCATGTCTAAAATTAGATGGAACTAATAGTATGAATGCAAATATTAATTTGAATTCAAATAAATTGATTAATGTAGCTAATCCTACTAATGCACAGGATGCAGCTACAAAGAATTATGTAGATAATAATCAAACTTCTAGTAATTTATATCTAAGAACTGATGGTTATAATCCTGCAACTGCTAATATAAATTTAAACACAAATAAACTTATCAATGTAGCTAATCCTACTGATGCACAAGATGCTGTTACAAAGAGCTATGTTGATGATATGCAAAATCAAAGTTTAGATATCATTCCCAATACAAGTTTAATATGCTTTGGACAAAAATCTCAAGCATTCTATGCAACTCCAGGATCATATACCATTTTTAGCTATAGTGGTAGTTCAGGAATTCTAAAAAAACTGTGGATTGCATTTACAGGATCTACTATTGCATCTAATACTGTACCAGGTAGCTTGTTTTTAAAAATATATGCTGACAATGTACTTTGCATAGGTAATGATTCTATTGTAACAGATGGTGTAGGTGTTAATAATACAGCTTTAGCTTGTGATTTATTAATTGCACCACTTGGTGGATCCTATTATGCAAACTCTTTACAAGGATGTAATGTATTTAGTACAAGTGCATTAGGAGGATATTTTACATTTGATCTTCCTTTTACATCAAGTTTGAATATACAATTATACAATAAAACAGGAAATTCAGTGACCTTTTGGTTACAACCTTTTATCACAAGAACTTCATCGTTTCAACAAGCATTAACTAGTATTAATCCTCTTATACCTCGATCTATCTCATCCATTAAGTTGTACTCATCAACATTTAGATATGTAAATACAACTTATGGTAGTGAATATATGCTAATGAATGTTATGGATAATGGAAACGGAGTGTATTTGAAATACATTAGAATGCATGTTGTTGGAGGATCTGGAGACTGGTGGGAATCTAGAGTTCGCATCTATGATGGATATGGTGCTCCTACCCATACTAACTCTGTCATTCAACCTTGGACACCTTATAATAATAATGGATATACTACATTTTCTGGATATGATGTTAACAGTCGATGCATCTACGCTTCATCAGGTTTAGAAGATTTTTATCTCTCTTCATGGAATGGATCTAATGTAAGCTCATTTAATAATGAAGTATCAGGATTGTTGAATCAATCAACTAGTATAATTGGTCCATCAACTACAATTTCATTTTATAGAAACTTTAATTCATCTGAAAGTATGCCTAGCGTTGGTATAGGTAGAAGAATGGTAGTGACACTCAACTCTGGTGATGCACAAGTTGGACAATCTGGAAGCTATGCTGCACTGATAGGACAATGCTTCTACTATGCTTAAGTAAAATCCTAGCGCATGCGCATTAAAAAAATAAAAAAATTTTGAAAATGATTTAAATAATTTTCTTGTGTATATAAAAAAGAATGAATCAAGAAAATAAACGTACAAAAATTGATTATGCTGCTCAAAATGGTCGCCTTGAAGTAATAAAATATTTACATTCTAAAGGATATAAAGGAACAGAATGGGCAATTAATTATGCTGCAGCAAATGGTCACCTTGAAATATTAAAATATTTACATGAATTAGGGTATAAAGGTTCTGAATGTGCGATTAATTATGCTGCAGTAAATGATGACCTTGAAATTATTAAATATTTACATGAATTAGGGTATAAAGGAACAGATCAAGCAATTATTAATGCTGCAGGAAATGGTCATCTTGAAGTAATTAAATATTTACATGAATTAGGGTATAAAGGTGATAAATGTGCATTTAATTTAGCTGCAATGAAAGGTCACCTTGAAGTACTAAAATATTTACATGAAATAGGTTATAAAGGTAATGAATTTGCGATTATTAATGCTGCAGAATATGGTCGCCTTGAAGTAATAAAATATTTACGTTCTATTGGATATAGTGAAGTATTTACATGAATTAGGGTATAAAGGAACAAAAGATGCAATTGATAATGCTGCAGAAAATGATCATCTTGAAGTCGTAAAATATTTACATTCTATTGGATATAAATAAGAAGCAAGAAAAAAAATTGAAAATAAATTTCTTTACATAAATTATAATAAATGGATTGTACAAGTAAAGATATTAAATTAGGAAGTTATAAAAGAAGATTAAGTTTAGCTCGTTATTTGCAAAATAAAAATAAATTACAATGGGAAAAGTTAGAGAAGGAAAGATTAGAAGAAGAAAAGTTAAAAACACCAGATCAAATTTATTATTGAAGAAAAGTCACGTGACGTCATTTTAAGAATTTTTCGTAACATTTCATAACAAGAAATAAAAATTAACACTTATTTTAAAAAATCAATTTTTTAAAATAAAAAATTATTTCTTGTTGAAATAATTTATACACAATATGGTTCAATGTTAACCCAATATTAATATTAATTTATGGTTGAAAATTTGGTTGAAAATAAAAATGTTCTATTAACCGGCATATCCTATCTACTAGTTTTTGTAGAAATTCAATTAGCTAAATAGAAATTAACTAAAAACGTTAAATTACTATGTGAAGAGGAAGCGGAACTACTTCACAATAACGCTGATAATGTTTAGTTAGTGGGCTTTATAATTTTAATTAGTATTTAAAACATAAAAAATTAACTTTAAGTTTAAGTATAACGAGTTTATAAGAATGGCTGAAGTAAAAATAATTAAAGTTAGTAAATTAAAAACATTTATTTTTGTAAACAAATAATGTTAGTTTTAAACATTTAAAGCTTTGTAGATGTGGCTCCAAGAATTAAAATAGTAGTTCGTTTGATAGTATATTCTTAAAACAATTTATGCTAGAAATCTCAAGGAAATCATAACAAAACTCAAATAATACAATTTTTTTAAATATTTCAACAGAATACTCTAGAAATTTCTGTTAGTATTTTTTGAACCAATAGAATTAGTTGTTCGTAGATTTGGCAGGCTTTTTGTGTTTTTTTCATTTTTCCGCACAAAGATTTTGAGAACATTCGAGTTTATGTATGTTTCCATGTATGTCTGTAAATAAAATACTTAAAAAATTAGGATAAAATAATGAAGGAAACATTCATGAATTTAAATGTTCTCAAAACGATATAAATATATATATATATATATATATATATATATATATTTATATATATATATATATATATATATATATATATATATATATATATAAATATGTATATATATATATATATATATATATATATGTATATATATATATATATATATATATATATATATATATATATATATATCATATTGGACTTTTATTTTTGTATGTATTTTTATTAATTTGTTAAAATTATTTGTTAGAATAAACTGACTAGGTATTATTTTAGCTTGTTTTTTTATTTTTAATGATTAATTTTTAATTTAAATTTGTTTATAGAAAGAAGTCAATAATATTCTGTACATAGAGCTTCGTATATTAAGTAACTATGGCAATGAAGATTGCACTTGTATATATCGGTTTCGTGTACATGGAATTTCTAATGATTGGATGTCTGGAAGTTTATAGTTTGTTAGAAAGTTTTGCTTGAGTTTGAGAAGTTAAATTATTTTTATAGAACAAGTTGTATATATGTATATTTTTGCTTAAAAAGGAAAATTTATGATTTATTCATACTATTATTATTTATATATATTTTTATGAAAAGTAAAAAGTCTTGTTAAATTGTTTCAAAAAATATACTAATTTCTTATATTGTTCTAAATTTCTTTAATTTCTCTTTTTACTCTTTCTTAATCTTTTTTTTTTTCCCATTTCCTCTTTAGTTTTATTTATTTCTTCTATTTCTTTACACGTTTAATTTCAGAGATTTTTTTACAAGTTTTTTGTGTTTTCAAATTTATTTTCGAAGAAAAATTATTTAAAAATATTTATATTTCAAAGTTGTATAATATTATGCAGTTAATAATGGTTGATTTTTGTAAAAACAGTTCTTTATAAAAATGCATTTTGTTAACGTAATAAGCGATAAAACAATTAAAAATTTGTTTAAAAAATTTTTTTTTAATTTAAATTTATAAATAAAAGAAATTATTTTTTGTTGTGTTAAAGTTATTTTAAATTATATATTTTGTATTGTTCTCAACATTCATGTCTTTTTTAAAGTAAAGAATAAAGTTAATTATAAGAGGATATTTTTTTGAAATATCTTAACTATTTTAAAGTGATACTCATGGTTTATATCTAATAGAAGTTATATTAATTAACAAAAAATTTCAAACATTTTGTCATTATAGAACAAAAAGTTATGTTTAAAATTATGAGTTTATTCATATCTAAAAATGCAAAAGCTATTTACCACATAATTTGATACTTCCTAAAAATACAAAGAGATTAGTGTGACAGAATAATTTATCAATATTTAGATTAGAAACATTATATTAATAGTATATCTTATTAAAATATTGTTGTTGTAAATAAAAAAAATATTTTCACAGTAACAAATTTAAGTTATTATTGATAGAAAATTATTTGAATAGAAAAATTGGGTACCCTGGGAACAGCAAACATTTGTTTTTTTTAGCTAATAATTTTAATTTAGATAAATTAAGTATCATCCAAAAAATTGTACTTAGAAATATTATTTCTATAAATTAAAAACTTAGAAATATTATTTCAATGAATTTTAAATTCTTTTTATGAGAGAGTAGGCTGAATTTAAAAAGTTTCATCATAATGGTTTGAGGATAAAAATAGAAATGTCTTTGAAAAGTTCCTTAGCAGATGGAAAGCGAATAAATCAAGATATTTCGTTAAAGAAAAGAGAAATTGATGCTAAGCTTGAGGAAGTAATTTTTTTGATTAATCCTTAAGGGATCCCAAATCTCCGAGACATGTTGTGTTCATATTAAAGAGAATGATAAAAAAAAAATGTTTGGGCTAAATTTTTGTGATTAAAACAAAAGAATAAATAAATGCCAACTTTTTTAAAACAAACTAACTTTTTAATTTTAGTCAAAGCTTGTCTTCTCCATTTTATTGTAGGCCTAAAAGCCAGCATATTATACGCCACAATCTACAGACTTGATAATTTTTTTTTTATTATGTTTTATCATGTTTTATTCCTAAGAGTTTTAGTACATGATGTCATTGACTTTTGTTTGTTTACATGATCGTTCTCTTCCACAAACAAAAAAAAATTGATGATGTTATTTAATAAAACTTTTAAGAATAAAACGCGCTTGAATAAATTATCAAGTCTGTAGATTGCGGCGTATATTATGCTACTTTTTAGGCCTACAATAAAACAAAGAGGATGAGCTTGGGCTAAAATTAAAAAGTTAGTTTTTCTTGGTATTCATTTATTCTTTTGTTTTAAACAAAAAAATTTAGCCAAATCTTTATTATGAACACAAAATGACTAAGAGGTTTGCGATCCCTTTAAAGATGTCTTTAAAGATGTAAGCCCTTTTATATATGCACACACATGCGCACACATATCTTTTATATTTTGTTATATATTTATTTTATCTATGTTTTTCTTTTTATCTATGTTTATTAAACAAAATTGGATTTATAATATATAGCATTATCTTTATTATAATATTTAATATACTTTTTTAGTTTATGTTTTAGGAAAAAGCTAGTATTACATGGCTAAAAGAAAGTTTACAAAAAAGTGACACTCTGGCTAACAACATGGTAATATAAAAGGAAATATTGAAGAAAGATAGATATACAATAAAGATAATTTAAAATATAAAATACATAATGGAATTATTTACATTACTTTTTTAAACATGTTATTTTTTTTTTCTTTATAAGAATTTTTTTTTTTTAATGTTTGTTTAAAAAACTTTTTTTTTGCTTTAAAAATAAAATTTATTTTATAGATTAACATACTGACGTCATTTGAAGAGCGTTTATGCAAACTTGAAGATAATATATTACCGGTTCATAAAGAGACCACAGATTTACAAAGACGTCAAGACAGTATCTTTTTATTTGTCATTTTATCACCCTTTGTTCACTTCCTCTAAAAAGGTATTTTCTTTAACAGTTCTAGATATAAGTAAAACATTAGTTCTATTGGAAGAGGTATTAAGTTTCCACAGTGTGTCATCTAACTTAAAACCAATAGTTGAAAGTGGGTAAGTATTATGGATTCTCCATTTAAAAAAGGTGGTGTAGTAGTAGAGAGCTTGCTTTTAAAGTAAGAGATTCTGAAATTTCAAATCCCAAAGTTCAATGGTTGCGTTCTTGGTATTAACTTGGGCTCAACTTGTTTCACAGTGCAGTGGTCTTGTAAAGGCCTTCTGACTTTGTGTATAATACAGGGATTATATTTTTTCAGATATTTCTGGAATTCTGGAGATTTTTCCAAAATATTTTCCATACATTCAATTTTAGACACATATTTTTGTAATATATTTGTTTTTTTAAGCTTTTTCACTCATCACTTATACAAAAATTAATTATTCACTACTCTATTTCCATACAACTAATTGAATGTTAGACAATCCATTTTACTGATGATTAAAATGATCGAGTTGATTTAATATACATTTTTCACACTTGATAAGTAATAATTTTACCTAGTTTCCACGTTAAATGATTAAAATAGTGAGTGTTCGTGATTCTTAAATAAGAAAATAATTTTAACATTGCAAAAAAATATTTTAATTGCTAAAAATTGTCAAAAAATAGCTTCAATATTTAAAATATTAATGTTGGTTGTATTGCTAATTGATTGTTTTTTAAAAAGTAAAATAAAAATAAGAATTCATTTTCCTGATTTTTTTTCATTGAAACAATACAAAAAAGTTTGATTGAAATTAACATACCAATTAAATTTTTGTGCATAGCTGTGTACCCTCATAGCTGTGTACCCTCATAGCTGTGTACCCTCATAGCTGCGTACCCTCATAGCTGTGTACCCTCTTGTTTCTGACTTAATTGGAAATATGAGTAGTAATAGTATTAAAAACAGCCAAACTGAAATTGTAAAAAAAGGAATTGTATCTAAAATCCGAAAAGCAGAATAAGATTGAAATAGCTCAAAAGAGAATAAGTTCAAAAAGGGACTTTCCGGATTATTATTGAAATAGAGAATGAACTAATAAAATTTTTCTAATTAATAGACTGCCTGCCCAAACCAAACCTTTAGTCAATGTAGCAGCACTCTTTGCATGTTTTACCTATTTGTCAGTTGATGCAGCAACACTCCTTGCATGTTCTACCTCTATGCTAGTTTTTCGATGCTATTCCTAAACCCAAATTTCGATATTAGTCTGTATAGGCACTTTCAAATTTATTCCTTCTAAATGAATTTCAATTTTTTTTTAAAATTAATTCCTTAAAATTAATTTTCAATAACAATCCCAAAAAAATGTTTCAATCAAAAAAGTTTCGATGATAAAAAAAGTTTTTGAAGGATTTTTTTTGATACTATTTTGTTTTCCCAGAAATATTTTTATCTTTTATCAATAAATTGTATTTCTTATATTTTATTGTCTTCTTATTTACACTTCTGGATTTTTTTTTTATAAAATAACTTTTTTATTTGGATCTGTGGTATATACATATTATACATAAAAATTACATTTTATTTTATGCACAAAATTATGTACTCATTTATATACACAATCAGTTATTTTTTACTGAGGTTTTTATAGTTGTAATTATTGCATATTCTAAGTTTATTTTTTATTTTGTTATTAATTAATCAAGAACACTAATATAATATTGTTTTATATACTTTTTATTACAGATTTAGTTTTGTTCATTTTACTAATTGAATAGTGTTATGTAACTGTATTATCTCACATTACTGAGACATTTTTGGCAATATGCAGGTTACCACTTTGTTGCATAATACTTTCCAATTGTGAAAGAAACATTGCAATAGCAGAGCTAATTAAGTAGAGTAATGCGTCAAGGAGAATGCAACAACAAATATGTTACAAAACTTACTTCTATTAACAGAGTTAATAGAAATAAGTTACAGAAGTACTAAAAGAAAGTTGTAGTACTTGTATGTTGAGTTTCTGCTACTTGATACTGAGATATGACTACTTAATTCCTACCATCCTGTTGCAGCACCCTATCTAACTGAGCTAATCTTGGCTCCAGATTATACACCAGTTTTCTTTTTTTGTATTTTAATAGTAAAAGAAAATTTCTATTGTTTTTTTTTTATGTTTATGAGTAAAACAGAAGAATGATTTTTTCCTTAATTTTTTATCCTGGTATTGCGGCAGTTTTTTTCCTCATTTTTTTTCTTCATTTTTTAATCCTGATATTGAGATTAGATGTATCAGTAAAGACATGAAAAATGATGAAATTATTTTTAATAGATTTGAAAAAAAAATCAAAGAAAAGGATTAGCGAGTTATTTCAAGTAGATATTTTACATAATAGATTTTTAAGAATAACATAATAGATTTTAAAGAATAACATCAACCCATTAAAACTTGCTGTTGTTATTCATTTTAAAGATTTATATAATTATTAATAAACATATTTTTTGTGAAGCTTAATAGTTGTTTCTACATTTATGGTTGTATCTACTTGCATGGTTTTTCTACTTTCATGGTTGTATCTACTTACATGGTTGCATTTTTACTTTCATGGTTGTATCTACTTGCATGGTTGTTTCTACTTGCATGGTTGTATCTACTTGCATGGTTGTTTCTACTTACATGGTTGTATCTACTTGCATAGTCGTTTTTCATTTTAAAGATTTATGTAATCATTAATAAGCATATTTTATGTAAAGCTTAATGGTTGTTTCTACTTTCATATTTGTATCTACTTGCATGGTTTTTCTACTTGCATGTTTGCTACTATTTGCATGATTGTTTTTACTTGCATGGTTGCATCTACTTGTGTGGTTGTATCTACTTGCATGGTTGTTTCTACTTGCAGGATTATTTCTATTTGCATGGTTGTTTCTATTTGCATGGTTGTTTCTACTAACATATTTGTATCTACTTGCAATTAGTGCAGTTTTTTGTTTAAACTTATAAACTAAACTTAATGCAGTAAGCAAAACACTATTGCCCTAAATTTTAATTAATTAATGAAATATTAAATTATAAATCTTCAAAAAATATCTAACTTTTATCTGAATTTTATTGCCTTATATAACAGATTTATATTTGTTGTAGTTTAAAATCTCCTAATTTGCTCCTGATTTATCAACATTTTTGCAAAAATAAGTCACCTTTTTGTGTTGCTAAAATAGCTTTTGATCCTCCATCTTCAAAAAAAGCGTGCAGCAAACTTTTTTTTGATCATACCAGAAGCTACAACTTCTGCTACATGGGCAACTTGACCTATATCTGTTGTAAGGTTTTTTATTGGGTTTTTTTTTTAACTTTTCTACAGCACAGATTTAAATGTAACCAATTTTCAACAGTGCTGAAGCATGTTAACTGAGCTTTAAGACAGTATAAGATTTTTTGCTGCTGCTGCAGGTTTGCAAATGGAAAAAAACTATACAAACCATTTGATAGCATTTTTGAAATTTAAAATAAAATTTTTAAAAATTAATTTTTTTCTTTCTCTTCTCTATTGTTAATATGTCCCTTTCTAAAAATTTCCGAACACAAACATAAAACTTGACAAACTATGGTGTTGCATAAAAAAACAAGTTAAGGGTGATATTTACAGAGACAAGGTAGACTTGAACTCTGTACCTTTTTTTTATATAGCAAATACACTACTACTACTACGCCACTACCTTATTTTGTTTGACTTTTTGTAAACAAAATATTTTTTTAGGTTTTGTGAATTGCTAAATCATTTTTAAAATTTGAAAGTTTTGCCCATAGAAAAATCTAATATACTTTGATTGACTTCATTGATTATTTATTGACCTTTTATTTACACCTTTGTTTTTTTTTATGCTTACCTGAATTTTTTTTTAAGCTTATTTCTTCATTTAACTTGTTGGGTTTAGAGTGAACAACTTAATTTATCCTTTTTAATTATGTAGACCAGCTGGAAACCTCAACAATTACCTGGAGACTTTAGAAAAAATTGAGAATGCTATTACATTTTTTAAAAAGAATAATCCAGAAAGTATTGAGTTATCTGTTCTGGTAAATTTTGTTGTTATTTTTTTTTACTCTCAAAGAGTTAAAAATCTTATATTTATTTACAGATGCTGTAATTCATGATAATTATTTCCTAATATCTTTTTTTCAAGATATATATTTTTATTTTTAGTATAGCTGTAAAAAATTATAATATTTAATAAAAAAGAAAGAAAGTAAAGAGTGCCTTGCTTTACTCAATGTTTTATAATTTGTACTTTAATATTTAAATTAACAATTGATTTGTTTTTTGGTACATTTATACTACCTGGTTAATGCGTTTCTGACTTTTATTTTAAATGCTTTTTTGATAATGACTTCAATATTTTCAAATAATTAAAATATGTCAACTTGGGTCTCAAAAGAAGCATATCTTATGATATGCTTCTTTTGAGACCCAAAAAAAATTGTAATGAAATTCTTTTGTAAAAATGCATATTTTTATTTTTTAGTTAAAAAAAGTTATTTTCTAAGCAGTGAAATCTAAAACAATATTTGATAAAATGATGATTATTTTAAAAATTTTTATATAGTTTTGCTTCTTTTGAAACCCAGCATGATATACTTTTGAAGAACTATTTTTTTGACTGTCTCAATTGATGTTTAAGGGTCTTGAGCTACCCCTACAAATGTTTTTTTTTTTTTAATTTTTTTAATTCTAGTATTATTTTATTATATAGAACACATTTAGAGGGTGAAAGCAGACATTTAAAAAAAAGTTATTTTAATGGCAACCCTATTGTTTGCTCAACAACAGAAAAAGAATTAGTTATTTTATCTTTTATCAAGAATATAAATTAAAAATTATTTTTTGAAATGTTTCAATTTATCAAAAATTTATTATAAATCATGTAGCTTAATATAAAGACAAGTTAATCTTTGTTAAGTTAACATTGTTTTGATTAAAATGTCTGCAAACCAGTTATGTTTTATTTTACCTATAATTCAATAATATCACTGCAAAATGAGTTAAATTTTTTTTTTAATTTTTTTTTTAAAATTACTTAATAATTGGCGGCTTAACTATCTTTAATAATAGATAACATAATCTTAACATAATAATTAGTACCAAATTGTTTTTGCGGCAATTTTTCATCTGGCTTCACAGTTGTTACATGTTGTGCTGAACAAAGTTGTTGTGTTTTATCTTAAACAAAAACAAACTTTTTAAACTTTTGCTACGCTTTCCTGTTGCCTCAAAAAGTTTCTTTTGTGAGGTTTTTTAAATTGCTAATAATTTCTAGAGCTGTTTTTTCTACTTGTTTGACATTACAAATAGTCGCATCCAATTTTTGTTCAAGTGTCAAAATACTTTGCATAATAAATTTGGAATCAATAAGTTGAGGTATTGACGGGTCAAAAACCATGTTTTCATTATCACAACTCACTTCATCTATTTTATTATTTGATGAACTAGTGCTAGCATCCTCTATGGACAACCAGGTATAAATTTTTTTTGCTGTTGCTTTTAATGCATGTTTGGACGGTAAGAGTATTATTCATTACGGATGCAGTGACACTAGCTATGATGTGCTTTAAAATTGATAAACTATTATTATTTTATTTTCAACTAGATCAACAATTTTTTCTGCAGGAAGTGATCCAGCTATCAGAGTCATTCCCAGGTTTCAAAACGTTGTTGATAAGTGTAAATTTACATTTAAATTACATCGATTTTTTAAAGACTTATATTCATCTAACGGTAAAGAAAATTGCGACCTGCTAGATATTAAAGTTATTTCTTACATATGACTTTAAATGTCTTTGTTTGCCATTTTTTAAATACAAAAGTTATTAAATATTTCAATAATTCAATACAGAAAAAGTTTTCAATGATTTACAAGTTTAAAAATCAAAATCTTTTTTATTTTTTACTTATATTTTTAATAACAAGAATAAAGAAAACAGTTTCAATAACATTTTTTGTTGTTCTAGGTTTTAATATAAGGTATGAACACATAAAACACAACTAAATGCAATAATATTTTTCTTATTTTTGGTCAAATTAGTTCAAACAGTTATCTTATATAAAATTAAAAAATTGTATTCCAGGATATAAGAGTGATATCCCGGGAAATCCTGCTGCTACTTTTATCTCTGGGACCCCGTTTGAGAAACCCTAGTTTGTAGTAATTTAGTTTTTATTTAGTTAAAACAATTTTAAAATCAATTCAAATGTGAATTGTGCTCTAAATAAAGTCAAGAAAAAATTTATTGGTGAGTTAATCTGGTTTTTACTATTCTGATCTGGTTTTTTCCTATTTTTAAAGTTTCTAAATTTTCTAAAATTGTACTATTTTTAAAGTTTTGAAGATTCAAAAGTTAAAAATTAAAGTAAATTGTGTTAATTAGTTTAAACATTTATTATTTCAAGATGTCAGATTTTTATATAGTTTTTTTTTTTTGTTCTTTCACCTCCCCAAGGCCGAGAAGGCCACTACAGATAAGGAGGCTACTTAATATAGTTGGTAAAAATATTTATAAAATTTAATTATAAAGAAACTTATTAATCTTATAAGTAGCTAAAAAGCTGTTCAAGCATAAATAGCAAAAGACTTAAATGAGATTCTGCTTTACATGTAGGACCTGCATCAGGTCCTAAATGTCCATCAATATTCAGTAAAAAAATCTGCTAAAAAGTAGCCTGAGCTCAAATTAATGAACAAAATAAGTGTTACTAAAATAAATTCAACAGATTTACTTTTTATAAAATTTATTTAGGTTTTTTCAGAGGTTTTATTTTAGATAAGCAACATGTGTAAATGTGTAAGCAAACAGTGACAGATCCAGAATTTTTTTTTTTCTCTGGGGGGGGGGGGGGGGGCGGGGAAGGCATGTTGAAATATTTTGGTATTAAAAAAAAGGTTCTCAATTTCTAAGATATTTTAGGATTTTCAGATTTTGGTGGAGGGTAGTAAGTGACTGAGGTCCCGGCTAAAAATTAGACTTTTTTCAAACCCAACCCCGGCAAAACTATGAGATTTAGCAGAGGTTGATAGTTCTAGAAAAATTATAGTACTTATAGTATATAATATAATTTTAGGCTTACATTTACTATTTATTAAATACCAGCGTATATTTATATATTTTCAAATTCTAATTTACTTTCAACAAGATTGCAACCACTATTATGTTATGAGTTACTTTAAAATAGAGAATAAGTAAAAATACTAGGAAATGGTTAACTGAAGGTATAAGAAAAATATGAAGATGGCTTAGAGTTATAAGATCTTTTTGATATGGAAGGAAAAAAACAGAATTAATAAAAGTTTTTAAAGCTTGAAGGGTCAGATACAATAAAAGGATGCTACTTGTTGAATAAGAAACAATGAGTTTTGGTTTATTGTAATAGAGATGATAGGTCGTTTGAGCATTGACCATAATAGTATTTGTAAAAAAAGAAATGCAAGCTTACAACAATGAGAGAGTGGCTCAAGCTTTGCAGATAAAGCAGGTCTAATTACATTTACAATGTGCTTTTAGACTTTGTCTGAGAGTAAAAGGGTTGTTATTCATCGATATAGGAATGCCAACAATATTGCAATATTTTTTTGCAGTAAATAAATTATATTTTTTGTCTGACAAATATTGTGGATTTTAAGTCCAGAATTTAAATCCATAAGCCACTGTAAGTTACACTATAAGCCACCATAAGCCACTGTTACTGTCTTAAACTGTTACAGAGATCAGATTAAAAATCAGCTGCTTTTTCTAAGCATTCAAAAAGTAAAGATTTTTCGTCAAGACAAGAGTATAAAGTTGAGTCATCAGCAAATAGAGTCACTTTAGATGTAAAATTTTCATAAAGATCGATATTGCAGATAAAAAGCGATACACAAGCAAAAATAGAACCTTGTAGCACCCTTAAAGTTACTTGAAATAAAGAAGAGTGTAGTGAATGAGTGTAAAGAGAAGAAGAGTGTAGGCCTTCAAGAATAACTTTAATACTGCAGTTAGAAAGAAATAATTTAATAATCTTAAAACCTTTATATAAAGAAACTAATAACAGAGTGAAGACTAATTGTAGAATTGTTGTAGAGGTCAAAGTGTTTTTTTTTAGAGTTTTGAAAAATTGGAACCAATTATTTAGCACTTTTTTAAAATTTAGCTAAAATTGAAGAGATTTCTGGTGAACACTTTTTTATGACTATGATGGAAATCTTGTCTGAAGCACAAACTGTAGAGGTGTTTAATTGAAAATTAACTTTAGCATGGGAAGCCATAGTGATTTGGATGCTTAACAATAGGTTAATCTATTTAACTGGTAGGAAGAAAATGGCCATTAGATTCAAGAATCAAATTAAAGTAAGATTTCTTTGCAAAGAACTTTATTCTGCGGAGAAGTAAAAAGATCAGACCCATGAATTAGAGAATGATTGTTAGACTTACTTTAGTTAATGGTGCTGTTTAAGACCAAAAGTCTCTAGAGCCTAACATCTGATACAAGATACAAGATTTAGTGAACTGAGAATAACAGAGCTTAACAGGATTAGGTTAGACAGGACCTGGTGAAAAAATATGGAGCAGAATGAGGCTTGACTTAAAATTGAAGAGAAGAAATAAAAGTTTCCAAATTTTTAATTCAGAAAAAAAAAAAACTTCCGAGATGCTTTTAACATTTATAGTATAGATATAAACATATATGTTTGCTATTTATTTAGATTCTGGCATACAATATTTTTCATATTTATATAAACTTTGGTAACTATATAGTGTAGTATTTGCTGAAAGAGAAGATGATTAGATGATGATAATCATGATCATGGTGACAATGATGATGATGATGATCTGATCATGTTGGTCATAATGATGTTTATATATACAAAATATGACATGAATTTTGAATTAAAAAAATATACTGTATATGTATAAATATTTATGTAGCCCCGGCCCCAGCTATATTTTATCAAACATGGCCCTGATCAAATATCAACCCTGAAGGCTTTCTAGTGGGAGGAGGGAATTCATACCCCCTCCCTGGATCCATCACTGTAAACAACACATTTAACATCTTTACATTTATAAAAGTACAATCTTTTTTAAAACAACATGTTTTGACAAATGACTTTTAGGACTGATGGTGTTTACTTAGTTATGTAGTTTACAATAAGAATCAATCAAAACAGATGTTCATCTTTCTAATGATCAGTAGCCTATGTGATTTATTCTGGGTTACTTTAATGATTTTAACTAATTAAGAAAAACTTGATTGTTCATTCATGTTATTTTTAATTGATATCAAAAATATTTCCACACTCTTTTCAATAATCTTTTTAGAATACATCTGCTTCATATTTGTAAAATGTTTGTTTGCAAACTAAGAATGATATGTGAGCATAAATCAATAATTAATAATTTTTGCTGAGTAATTTAATAAATGATTAAAATGAAATTTTATAATTTATATAGCAATAAATATATTTTTAGAATTCGTTAAATGACAGCGGACGTGATTCACTAGTTAGAGAATTTCGATTGCTTTTGCAAAGAAACAGTAGACCCATCTCAGTTCTTGATATTCAGAACATGATCAATAGTGATAACTTTGGTACTTAGCTAAATACTAAAAAAATATTTTGTACTTATTCCATTACTTAAAATTATTTAAGTGCTTTTTAAAAAAGAAAATAAATTTGTTTAAAATTTATTTATTTAACTGTCATTATTAGATGAAAATAATGGAGAAGAACGCGAGAAGATTCAGATAACACATTTTTCAGGTAGTTATTCATTTTTTTAAAATATATATTATTTTTACAATAATAATATAGTATAATTTGTATATAAAATTTATAAAAAAATGTATTCCTACAAATACAATGAATGTATTTAATATTATTCCTTAAATTATTGTTATTAAATTCGTAATGTTTAATATATTTTTATATTTTCAATTTCTAATGAATAGAATAATTTCCTTTTAGAAAGTATTATGGCACAAATTTGCATGATTTCTTCCTGGTTAGTAGAAAATAAAAAAGGGACTGGTAAATAAACATTATTATTTAATACTTTTTAAGCTTTTTAATGTCTTGAGTTTTTAGTTTATAAAATGATTTTTATTAGATTTCATGAGTTTTTATTCACAAATTCGATCAAACATTTTATCTCAATCACTATTAGGGTAATAGAGTTTTTTATTTTCGTTTATCAATTTATGCGTTGTTTTTCAGAATTATAAGTTTTATAATTAGAATTATAAGTTTTATAATTAGAATTATAAGTGTTTATTCTTGTATAATATACATAAAAAGTTTTCATTAGTTTAATAAAAGTATTTGTCAAAAAAGATATTTATAAATAGTCTTTTCGCAAATTTCCTTTATCTGTTTTTTGTTTTTTTTTAAGAGTAAAAAATGAACCAGATTTCTTTTTGGTTGAAGTAAGCTATTCATTTAATTAGTTTAAATTTTTTTATTTCTGATAGTTTACATTTTGTTTTTATGTCATGGTTTAAATTTTAGGATAATAGTGGGAAAAAAAAAGGTAAGAAAAAGATAAAGAATTCTTCAATTATATTTTTATGTTAAATAATAAACAATTCAACAAAATATAAATGGATTTTATTTTTTATTTTCTTTAAAGCTGCATTTGATTACAAAAAGAAGTTGTAAGTATCCTTAATATTTTCATTACCATCATGTGTACACAATTCTGACACATAATTGTCAATTTTCACATTTCTCACAGTATGGAGTGAAACATTAGTTTTAATTTACTATATTGTATAGCTTATTTATGTATATGTATTTATCGTATATGAATTGTATATTTGTAATACATATACAATAAATGAATATGTTTTCAAATATACATCAAATTTTAAACTTTTTTTAAACTCCAATATTTTGTGTAGCCATAAAATTTATATATTGATACCTTAATATGCAAGTCTTTAAAATGGCTACTACATAGGGTGGACAAACAAAAAAAAAGTCATTTTGTTACACGTATTTTTTGTATTATTTACTTTATCCTGAAATGTCAATATGAAATAAAGACTTGTTTTGAATACAATAACTATGAATTTACGTAGCATGTGTATTGGCATGTAAACAACAAAATCCCATCATTAAGTCATTTTGTCAAAAAATCGAGTTAACCGATTTGCATATTAAGGTACCAATATTTTGTACTACAGCAATCACAAGACATTTTAAATAAACATATAAAAAAAACATTCCAACAAATCATACACTAGACCAGTGATTCCCAAAGTGGTCTATATAGACCCCCAGGGGTCTATGACAACCTGCAAGGGGTTTATGTCAGCGGAATAAATATTTGGGGGTCTATGAAATGAAAATGGGGGTCCGCGATAGTGGCCTCAACATACACTGATAGTACCTATTTACTTACTTTATACTCCCCCACTGACTCACTAAATTTAATTAGTTGCGAACGCAAAATGATTGCGGCAGAGCAGACACGCACAAAGCACTACAATACGTGACTAGCTGTTTGACTAAACTTGTTACCTGCATTTGTTCATTAAAAATTCTTAGTTTAAAAAAGTTATAAAAGTACCGAACATTTTCACAATACATTTAATTACTTAGTCTTTTTAAACTATTGTTGCTCTCCAACTCGAAGTTCCATTATGTGTGCCATTAAAATTTTTATATTCGACGACATTTTTAGTCACAAAGAAGAAGAGAAATGAAAGAGTTTTTATGATAATAGAAAAAGTTTAATGACTGTTGTGTGACGTGATTGATATAATACGGTTGTTTTTAATAAAATTATAGTGAATTAGTGTTATTTTGTTTGAGAGTGCCAAAGAAAAGTAAGTACAAATTTTTAAATTATATTTTAGTTTTGTAATTGAAGTTAGCAAAGATAAATAATTTACGTGAATCATGACTTCAGTTATTGGTAGTTTAGTATTTAAATCATGCAAAATTACATGAGTACATTACACAAGTAATATTCATAGTATTGTTTTGACGTTCATTTATAATCGCTGTACACCTATGCCTAACATAAAATCTAAGACTATACAATTTAAATTTTACTTTGATTTTCAAATGCTGAATTTGATTTTTAAATGCTGAACTTCATGTCTTATAAATAGAATAATTTTGCCCACAGATGACTGATGCCATGCCCAAATGTAAAAAGTAATGTAGACAGTACAGTGTTGATTATTTGAAGTTTGGCTTCATTCCATCATTGACGGACAAACAATTGCCTATGTGTTTTTTATGCAACAAAATTTTGGGCAATGACGCTATGAAACCATCTAAGCTAAAAGATCATCTGAAAAGATGTCACCCTGATAAAACAGATAAAGATTTGAAATACTTTCAAACACTTAAAAGTAAACTTCAGAATAGACCCACGCTAGACAGAATGTTCGCTTCGACATCACAAAGAAACAATGATGGTTTGCAGGCGTCTTGCAACATTTCGCTACTTATAGCGAAATCCGGAAAACCGCATACTATCGGAGAGAAGTTAACTTTACTAGCCGTTGAAGAGGTTTTAAAAACTGTTTTACCAACACAAACCTGCATCTAATATCATTAAAAGATTTCTATTAAACAACAATACTGTTGAAAGGCGTATTGATGAAATGAGTTCTGATATTGAGTGCTTCTTGTGTAATTATTTGCAAACGACACATTTCTCTATACAACTGGACGAGTCATTTTTACCTGGTAATGCAGTATTATTATTGGCATATATTTGTTTTACTATGAATCAAAAAATTCACGGTGAACTGCTCTTCGCAAGAACGTTGACAACCAACACTAAAGGTGAATCAATATTTAATGTTTTGAAGGAATACTTTATTGTAAAAGCAATCCCTTTATCAAATATCATATCAGTAGCTACAGAATGGAGCACCTACCATGGTTGGACGTTATCGCGGATTTATAAGCTATTTAAAACAAAATGTACCAGGGTTGTTAACAATACATTGCATCATCTATCGGTAACATTTGGTTGCTAAAAATTTGAGTGCTAGATTGCATCAATCTCTTCAATTAGTCATTCATGGAGTAAACCAAATCTGAAGCAACGCCTTGAATACGCGGTTATTTGCACAGTTGTGTGAAGAAAATGACGAACACTTTCATCAGTTACTTCTTCACACTGAAGTACGCTGGTTGTCAAAAGGCTTATGTTTAACAAGATTCTTTGGACTTTTTGAGACTATTTTAGAAATTTTGGATACTAAATATAAAATTATAAAAGATAATTTAATAAAATGGAAAACAGACATTGCCTATTTAACAGATTTGTTTACAAAGTTTAATATGGTTAACTTGCATTTACAAGGCGACAATCTAAATTTGATTAAAACAAAATCTATCTTAACAGCATTTCTTGCCAGAGTTAAACTAATGAAGCAAAGTAATGGACGGGGTGAACTTTCCTGGTTTCCCAGTTTGTCACAGACACACTGTCCAGAAGATGACGTTTCAACCTACGTTTAACATTTAAATGTCCTCTATTCAGATTTGGAAACTAGGTTTGAGGATGTTTTGACTATGGTAATACCACCGTGGATTATTAACCCATATGGTGAGATAGAAAAAACAAATGCCATAATACAAGAGGAACTGATTGCACTAAGTACAAACAAATAACTTAAGGTTCAGTTTAAAAACAGATATCAGCAATTCTGGATGCAAAACATACCCTTTACATATCCCATATTATGAAATATAGCAAGGAAATTTTTTATTTCTTTTCCATCCTCATACCTAGTGGAAAGAGGATTCAGCGTTGTTACTGATCTCTTAACAAAAAAAAGAAACAGACTGGACATCATTAGCCGAGGAGATTTAAAATTAAACCTTACGAAGTTGACGCCAAATGTTGATAATTTATTAAAGCATCAGGTTCATTGTTCTCACTAAAAAAATTTACTTATTGCTTAGTTTATTTTTTGTGTTTATTTTATGTTACGTATACAGATACACAATTTTATTTTGAGTATTTTTTATTTAAATGCAATTAATAAATGTATAAAACTTACCATGTGTTTTTACTTGACATTTTTAAAACTAAACTTTACTACAGTTAGAAATTAACGAAAAATCAATATCAGGTAAGTTGGGGGTCTACCCAAAACCAAAAAACATAGCAAGGGGTCTACGACACAAAAAAAGTTTGGGAATCACTGCACTAGACATTCCAACAAATCATATTAAAAAAATATTCTAATAAAATATTGAGTAAAACAGGGTAAAATGAAATAGCGGGCAGAATTAAATAGTTATGACAATATTTATTCTTTCGCTTTTAATTAACTATGAAATAATTTTTTTGTAAATATTTTTTGATTATATTGTAGAGAATATTTTTCTAAGTAAGATTGTATAAAAATTTTTTTATAATTAAAAAAGTTTTGTTATAAATTTATAAGTTTTCAAATTCGTGATAAGATTTTTTTTATTTATTTGAAAAGGGAACTTAAACTCTCGAAAATTAAATTTGGTATCATTGAACTTAAAATGTTTATTGATACAACTTTTTACACTGATCAAGAATCTTTTTAAAATTAAATTTAGGAAAAAAAGTTATGAGTTAAAATCGGAAAAACTGAGTGTTGCGGGGTTGAATGAAATATGCTAATAAATAAATACAAAGCAATAGCTTATTTCTTAAAAGGAGCTTTTTTTTATTAGGTCTTAAGTGATCAATAAATCTCCAACTATAAGTTTTTTGTATAAATTTCAATGAATGAGTTTTTCTAACTGAATTTAAATGAATTTTAATTACTGCTTTTATAAAATAGTTCTAATAAATGAATGAAATACACTAGTTACTCTCTTGTTACGGTCATCTTGTCTGCAAACAACCTTCAATATTGTAGTAACTCCTGCTATTCAAAAGCAAATTCAAAAAGAGGTTGCAAAACAACTGCAATCAGCACAATCACTTGCAGCAGCTTTGCAACAAATGTTTTGTATCCAACATGTTGACACAAAAAAAAGAAAAAATTTAGATATGCCAAGATTCGAAGGGGAGTGTCTCAACGAACTTGAAATACTTGAAAGGTTGAAAGATGCTGAGAGCAAAAAAGCAGCAAAGCAAGCTAAAAAACAACCTAAGCTTAGCTCTAATAGAGAACAGCAAATAAACCAAGCAACAACTCCAACGAAAATATTAGCTGCAAACCAATTCAAGTATAAAAAGTGCCAAAAAGGTTTTTGGCGAAACTTCAGCAAGTCAAATTATGGAATGGTACCTGTATGAAAATTCAAATTGCAAGGTTTGGCTATGTTAAACATGCATACTTAAGCAATGCGTAAAAAAGCGCTGAGTTTTATTGCTACAAAAAGTGCAGCACAAGTGAAAACTCAACTCAACCTCTAGTACCTCTAAACAGCTCAACATCATCACAAGATTAAAAAAGTTTATTTTATTTAATTGATTTTTTTAATTGTTAATATTGATTGTTTTTTTAATTGTTATTATTGATTGTTTTTTTAATTGTCATTATTGATTGTTTTTTTAATTGTCATTATTGATTGTTTTTTTAATTGTTATTATTGATTGTTTTTTTAATTGTTATTATTGATTGCTTTTTTGTTTTTTTAATAAAGTGTTGTTTTAATTACACTTATATTTGCGTATCTCATTCTCCACGAATGTCAGTGTAGAATGGAATAAACTTTTTTTTTTAATCAAATAAATCATTTGATTAAAAAAAAAATCAAAAATAATCATTTTTTTGTAAAGTTTCATAAAAAACTTTAGAAAAAAATGGGTAAAAATTTACATTACAGCTCAATACTCTCTACAACTTTTATTTAAATACAGCTCAATACTCTCTACAACTTTTTTAAAAAAAAAGGAAAAATCCTTTTTCCGTAAAAAATTAATAATTAAAATCCTTAACTATTCTATTTGACCCCATTTTACTCTACACATAATATAACAAAATTTAGAAAAAGATATTTTAATAAAACACACGCAAGATATTTCAAAATAACATAATAAAAATTCCAACAAAACATACAAAAAACATTCCAACAAAACACTTTATCAAAAAATTGATCTGAAAAATTATAGTTTAATCTCATATTGTGTTAGTGGTCAAGGAAAAGGGTAATAGGGGCCTTGAAAACCTGGAAAAATTTTTTTTTTTTTCTAAATGAAAAACCTGGAAAAATGAGGCATATTCTTTAATAACCTTGATAGTAGCATTGCGTTACTGATAATGATACTGATGTCAGTTTATATGATATTATGGTGATATAATGGTGATACTGATGTCAGTTATTATTTATGTGAGGATCCCATGTTTGAAGTTAAGACATCTTGAAATTAAATCCTACCAAAGAAGTTTGTATGAAAATGACCTTGTATAACTGAATATATTAAAGATATTTTATTTCTGTTTAATTTTTTTAGAACTAAAAAAGCAACAAAGCAAGTCATAGGTAAACACACTCTGCTTGGATTATTTTAGAGTTTTTTTTTTTTTTTTTTGAGTAAGATTAAATAATTGTTTTATGTACATACATTATATAAACTTAACCAATCATATTTGGAGTAAGAATTAATAATTCTTTTATGTACATCCCGACGGGCATTTGTTTTTAAAAGTTACGTTCTAAATGTATTTTAAATGTCTTTTAAACGTCTTTTAAACATTAATGTTTAAAAGACATTTAAAAGACATTTAAAATACATTTAGATCGTAACTTTTAAAAACAAATGCCTGTCGAGATATGTCTTATAAGGGTAACAAATCATTTTTAGAAATTTACAAAAGACCTTCTGATTCTTCTAATACAACTATAAAAGATGAAGAGGAGTAACTTAATTTATTTCTAATTTATTTTAAACCATTCTTTGTTTTTATTTTGATTAATTTTTTTTTTATATTAATAAATTTTTCTTTATTTGGTTTTCCATGCTAATAGTTAAATTAAAATCAAACATATAAAATAAAAATTACTTTTACACTCTCTATATATGTGCATATATATGCTTATTTTTCTTGTTTAAAATTTTAATTGATTTTGTTTTTGATAAAATTTATTAGTTTGTTTCAAAATATAGTGATTGTAATTTTGATGTTTCAGTGATTATCAAGTGCGTATATTTCTGGTATCTACTGTAGCCTTGTTAAAACTTATGCAGGTACTTCAGCAATTCTACTTTAGAAATGTAGTTTTTTTTATGATGACCAAACTGTATGATTTGTTTTAAATTATCTAATATGTTGAGTTAAGAGTTGCTGTTGTTTTCAGATTTCAATATATAAAAATAAAAGTTTTTAAGTATGTTGATAGTTGTTTAGTATGTGTGTGTCCATATTATATTTACATAAATTTCTTGAAAATTGTCTGTAAATATTAAAAAAAAATGATTTTTAAGATCATTTATGACACAATAGCTACACCCACACAAATGCTTTATTAGCTACACCCACACAAATGCTTTATTAGCTACACCCACACAAATGCTTTATTAAGTTACCCCATATTTGCTAATAAAAAACTATTGCTTTAATTTTAGTATCAGATTTTTTTTTTTAATAGTTTAGTTTAAAAACTATGAAAAAAACTTTTAATAGTTTTTTTAATAGTTTAGGAGTTAAAAGCTTATGGGTTTTAGTATACAAAATATTTTTACTTACTGATAGACACATTGAATAACATACATTGAAAGTTAGCAGCATTAAAAACTAATAAATTACTTTGTCATCAAAAAAACATAAAAATTATTCAATTTTTTTGTCAAAACATGTCTAGCAACAGTTCAACCATCTGAAAGTCACAACTTTTAAGGTGCTTCCACAATTGCAATCTTTCATGGTGCCTAATGTATCATGGTGCCCTACTCTGCTCTACATAAAATTGAAAACCATTGTCAATAGGAAGTGACTGGGGCCCCTACCCTGGCTAAAATGAGTCTTTTGTCAAACTTGTTGATAGACGGGGCTAGAAAAGTTTTATAATATTTTATATATTATAATTTTATACTTACATTTACTATTTATTAAATACTAGCATATATTTATATATTTTTAAACTCTAGTTTACTTCCAACAAGGTTGCAAGCAACCTCTCTTAAGTTATGAGTTACTTTAAATTAGAAGATAGGGTTAAAAAGCTAAAAAACAGTGAAGACTTAAAGTTGGAAACAGTAAAGACTTAAAAAGTTAGAGATTGTGTAAAAAAAGAAAACATGAAGATGGGTAAGAATTATAAGGTTTTTTTGATGTGCAAGGAAAAAAACTGGATTAATAAAATTTTTTTGCAGCATGAAGGAACAGATACAATAAAAGGATGCAACTTGTTGAATAAGAAGCCAAACAAGAATGAGTTTTGGTTGATCTAACTAGAGATGATAGCTCGTTTGAGCATTGACCATCATAGTATTTGTAGAAAAAAGAATGAAATGCAACCTTAAACAATGGGAGAGTGGCTCAAGCTTGGCAGATAAAGCAGGTCTAATTACATTTACAGTGTGTTACATTTACATTTATGTGCTTTTAGACTTTGTCTGAGAGTAAGGTTGTTATTCATCATTATAAGAATGCCAACAGTATTTCAATATTTTTTGCAGTAGTTACATGAGTTTTGTTGTCTAACAAAAATTGTGAATTAAAGTCCAAACTTGAAATCTACAAGCCACTGCAAACTTTAGGCTTATATAGAGAGATCAGATAAACAAATTTTTATCAAAATAACAATACAGGAGCAAAGAACCTTGGGGTACCCTTAAAGTTACTTGAAATAAAGAAGAGTGTAGGCCTTCAAAAATAAATTTAATTCTACAGTTAGAAAGAGATGATTTCATAATATCAAAAACTTTATATAAAGAAACTAATAACAGAGTGAAGACTAATCGTAGGATAGTTAGAGACATCAAAGTGTTTTCTAGAGTTTTTAAAAATTGGAACCACTTATTTAGCACTTTTTAATAGTTTAGCAAAAATTGAAGAGAGTTCTGGAGAACACTTTTTTAAGACTATGATGGAAATCTTGTGTAAAGCACAAACTGTAGAAGTTTTCAATTGAGAATAAAATTTTAGCATATGAAGCCAGAGTGATTTGGATCTTTAACAATAGATTAATCTGTTTAACTTTAAGAGTTAAAGGAAAATTTATTTTTAAAAAACTCTGCCCTATTCTTGGGAGAAGTAAGAAGTAATTTTATTACTTTTATAATGCAGTTAGTGAAGACCCATGAAAGATCAGACCCATGAAAAAATGGGTATTTATGCATACATAATATCGATATAAACTTATATGTTTGCTATTTATTTAGATGCTAGCATACAATATCCTTTTATATTTCTATAAACTTTAGTATTTATATGGTATAGTATTTGCCGAAAAATAAGATGATCAAATGGATGTTTGGTGTGACTCTAACAAGACAAGAAAAGGAGGCATAATTTTAGACAGATTTAAAAAAATGTATCAAACAATGTTTGTTAGAAAAAATTAAAGTGATTAAGGTATCAGCATGTAGAGAGGTAGCTGCTTTAGTAGTGATATAAGTAATAAAACTTAAAGAGTGTTAATGTGTCTTACATAATATATGAATGAGCTTTAGTTAAGGAAAGAAAATGCTCTAGATAGTTTATATTAGAGAATCAGCATAAATGTCATATTTAAATTAAAAAAACTTACTGTTTGAGTAAGCAAGCTTTATAATTAACAAATAAATTTTATATTTTTCATCAAATAAACATCTTATCCTTTTTTCCCTCCTGAATTATTGAGACAAGCTTGCTGAGTATGATGACAGTTGTTTTTTTTTAATTAGTGTTTATTAAAGTATAAAACTAACTTATTAAATTTTTTTTTTTAAACAAATTTTTAGAGTGAGCATACTCTTATGACTAATATTATACCGGCTGAGCATCAGGTGCCAGTATTCAGCCAACTGGTTCAAGATGCATTAAACAAGTATTATTCTGACGCTGAGGTATAAAGTTGTTTAGTTCTCCATTTTTTATAATATATTTTTAAAAAGGGATTTTTTATATATATTTATTGAGCTTTCTTATTTTTATAGTTTTTTAGGAGAAACTTATTTTCATTCCAGCATTTAAAAGTTAATTCCGATTTTTTGTTTAATAAACATTCTTGGTTCGCATGTGTCAAACTTTTCTTGTAGGCATAATATGCTTTTTTTTTTTGAAATATTATCAAATTTGTTTAAAAAAATAAAATCATCTGTATAAAATCATCAATATTGTAATCTTCATTGGCGCATATAATATAACTATTTCAACCCTATTTAATAATAATTATATTTTAACCTATATTATAAAAAAAGGATTTTTTATATATATATTTATTGAGCTTTCTTATTTTTATAGTTTTTTAGGAGAAAAAGCTCAATAAATATATATAAAAAATCCCTTTTTATAAAATAATATAACTAATTCAACCTATGTTCAACCTTATTTAATAATGTTTATATTTCAACCTATATTATAAAATAATATAACTATTTCAACCTTATTTAATAATATTTATATTTCAACCTATATTATAAAATAGTATAACTATTGAAAAATCTTTTCAAAAAGAGAAGTTGAGGTTGAAATAGACATATTTTATTTTAATTGCAAACATATAGAAAAGTGTTGTGCTTCAACACGAGAAAACTATTTTATGTTAAATGCATTGTGTTTAAAAGACAATGAAGCTACTGCTTTTGGAATTGGAATTTTAATACAACTTGAGGAGCTAAGTTCTTGATTAATACTACAATATTTCCTTTTGCAAAGCACAGAGGACCACTAGTAACCACTATAGTGAAGGAGAAGGATAGTCTTTTTTAATTGTAAACTCAGAAGCACCAGTTTTGACAAATATATACAAGCACATGGTTGTTGCATGTTTTATGTGAATTTTATTTTGGGGATGGATGACCAGAACTTCATAATGTTATGAAATATTTTGTTTACAACTTTATTGTAATGCTATAGAAAGTGCTTTGGGTTAAATGTATAGATACTGAGATATGCATGCAACATATATTTATTTACAAAAATTTCCAGCAATATAAATTATTGTTTTCTATAAACTATAGGATAAAAGTAGTTAAATAAGAATTAGCTAAAGCACCTAATAAAAAAAGGTTTTAGTACTCTGTTTTTAATTTTTTATGCTAGAATGTATCTAACAATGCTAAAAAAATGCAATCACGTATGGATCATTCCTCTGTTCAGTTTATTCTTCCTGTTTTAAAGTACCTAGTTAATATAAAACCACAGTTTGACTCAATATTAAAGGTATAATTTAATATACTAATATAAAATACTTTGAAAGATTATTTACGGAATGTTCATAGAATGATAAAAATTGTAATAATAAAAATTTACTTTAATAATTTTAAAGTTTAATTTACTTAATTAAATTTTTTAAAATTCAAAATTTATTTGATATATTATGATGTTTTTTTTAGATGGTTAATGTTGATACACGGAAAAAATTCCTAAGTGTAATATCTCTATTTCATGAAACAGTAAGTTTATACAATTAATATTCAAACATTAAGTGTAATGCCTCTCTTTCGTGAAACAGTAAGTTTGTACAACTAATATTCAAACAGTAGGTTTATACAATTAACATCGAAACAGTAAGTGTAATACCTCTCTTTTATAACACAGTAAGTTTTTATAATTAAATTGAAACAGTATACCTATTCTGCCCTAATAATGTCTTGGTAATGATTTAAAACTGACGCCCTTGTGATAGTATCACAATATAAGTATGCATTCCTGATTTGCTAAATGGGTTAACACCAGGAATACAACCTAATTTAAAGTTATTGCTCTAAATCTGTCATATTTAAATAAATAAAAAATAGGGTTATGGTTTAAACGAAAATCACTAAAAGTGTGGAACCATAGATGTTGAAAAAAAAGACAAAATTTGGTATTATTCTGAAGAAATATACATAGAATGAATATTTTTTTCTGTTTTACAATTGCTGTTCAACATTTGTTTAATTTCAAATTTAAGTTTACCTAATTCCTTTTTTTTAGACTTTTGATAAATAAAATTTTTAAACAGAAATATGCTTTTTTTAGGGTAAAGTTCTTTTGTCAGATTTTGTTGAGAAACTTAAGGTAATTTATTTCTTTGATATATTTTTCGAAAATAATTATATATAAAAACCATATATATAAATATATATATATATATATATATATATATATATATATATATATATACATATATATATATATATATATATATATATATATATATATATATATATATATATATATACATATATATATATATATATATATATATATATATATATATACATATATATATATATATATATATATATATATATATATATATATATATATATATATATATATATATATATATACATATATATATATATATATATATATATATATATATATATATATATATTATACATATACATATATATATATATATATATATATATATATATATATATATATATATATATATATATATATATATATATATATATGTATATATATATATATATATATATATATATATATATATATATATATATATATATATATATATATATATATATGTATATATATATATACATACACACAGTGGTGTACCCTCATGGTCGTCCGGTGGCACGGGACAACTTGTTTTCTCCAAGGGTGACTGAAATTTAAAAAAATGTCTGTCAGTAACCCAGCAGGACAACCAGACAGTTTGTTACTAATAAGAGTGTGTTTATAAATAAAACTATATTTTAATTGAAGTAGAAAAGCATCTAGAAAAAATAATATTTAAAACTTATTAAGGAACTTAAACAACTTTATAAAACTGTACTGTATAAAAAGTTTAGGATTATGAAAAGCATTACTAATGGTCCATAAAAACACACGTTAATTTTAAAATCAACTAATAAAAACTTTTTATTGGTTGATTTTAAAATTAATGCACATTTTTACAAGCTATTAGTAACGTTTTTATTAATGCCAAACTTTTTATAAATACGTTTTTATAAAGTTGTTATAATGTATAACACTAATAATAATATTTAACTAGTATTTAACATTTTACTTTGTAAAAGTTCCTAAAGGTTTTAATAATACTTGAATGTCCACTAGATGCTTACCTACTTTTATTAAAATTCGGAATTACTGTGTTGTTTGAATAAAGAATAAACTTTAAAAGTTATAAGTGCTTTATAAAGGTAGTAACACTATTATAATTTTATTACTTTTATAATGCAGTTAGTGACTAGAGTGTTGTTATTTTTGCAGTTGTAAATTTTTTGTTTGTTTTTTTTTTATAGCTTTTTCCCTAAAACTTATAATAATTTTCTCCTTAAAAACAATTACACAACTAAAATTTTAAAAATATCACTAGTTTCACCAGAGAAAAAATACAAAAAAACTTTTATATATATATATATATATATATATATATATATATATATATATATATATATATATATATATATATATATATATATATATTTATATATATATATATATATATATATATATATATATATATATATATATATATATATATATATATATATATATATATATATATATATATATATATATATATATATATATATATATATATATATATATATATATATATATATATATATATATATATATATATATATATATATATATATATATATATATATATATATATATATATATATATATATATATATATATATATATATATATATATATATATATATATATATATATATATATATATATATATATATATATATATATATATAATATATATATATATATATATATATATATATATATATATATATATATATATATATATATATATATATATATATATATATACTCTTGCATGTCTCTTGCATGGCATCAAAAAAAGTTTCCCATAAACTGTAGTTTTAAAGAGCGCGTTAATAAACCAAACCAGAAAAAGTTTTAAAAATTAAATTTTTTTTTTAATTGATAGACTGCCTGGCTAAACCAAACCCTCAGTCGTTGTAGCAGCACTCTCTAGCGAGTCAGGCTATTTGTCAGTCGTTGTAGCAGCACTCCCTTGCGAGTCAGGCTATTTGTCAGTCGATGTAGCAGCATTCCCTTGCGAGTCAGGCTATTTGTCAGTCGATGTAGCAGCACTCTGTTGCAAGTCAGGCTATTTGTCAGTCGATGTAGCAGCACTCCGTTGCGAGTCAGGCTATTTGTCAGTCGATGTAGCAGCACTCCGTTGCGAGTCAGGCTATAAGATAGTCGATGTAGCAACATTTACGCATGTTTTAAAAATGTTTTTTATTAAATCAATAACAAAAACACCACTAATTAATAAAAACTTTCTAGTCGTTATAATTGCGGTTTTTTAAAAATTTTTTAAAAAACAATTAAATTTAATGTACTTCCGCATAAATTAATTGCTTTGACATTTCGATGACAATCAAAAACAGCTTACAAGACGAGGTAATTAAAATTGTAGTCGTAAGAGACATTTTTACATTAAAACGCTCTTTCGACTACACTATATGGGTATATATATATATATATATATATATATATATTATATATATATATATAGAATATATCTTGTGTTTATATATCCTATATATATATAGTTGTATATAGGATATATATAGAATATATCTTGTGTTTTCTTTGTTATGTAATCTTTATTTTATTATGTTCCTTTTTTATTTACTTAAAGGATATTGACAAGAATAATACAGTACCAAAAGATGGAACTGTGCACCAAGTAACTAGTAATGTAAGTTAACAACAAAATTGTCAAAATTCTTTATACCAACACAATATAAGTATTGTATTACTCTATTATTATCAATGCTATGATTAAATGGGGTGAAATTAAAACTAACTACCAAATTTACCTACTACTACTACAGCATCATGCACAATATCGTAATTTTTTTTTCATTCAACTTAAAATAAAACTTCATTCAAACTAAAAATAATGTGTAGAATTTCATTTTTAGCTGTCTAAAAATTTTATCTTTTTTAACTGATAGTGAATGCTGAAAAAATAATGCAATTTTAAAGACATTTCTTGATAGATAATTGATAAAGTTATTTAGTTAGCAGTATGTTAAGGATTGCATATTAAATCATCATAAAAGTTAGCACATATCAAGTTTAAGTTCCATAAAATGTAATGGTTCCCTCCAATTACTTTTATTTCAGGTTAGGACTTTTTGTAACAATCTTTGGTCAGTCATACAACTCTTGGAAATAGGGTCACCATTTGGCAATGCCAACCTAAAAGTGTTAGAGGCCGGAAAAAATTTTTAAAACTCATTTCATTGTTTTATGGTAATCCCCTTGTGTCAAATTTTTTTTGCCAACCTCTAACAATTTTGGTTTTTTATTGCTGACTTCATTTTTCCTAATTCCGAGGATTGGTTATATGAGTGTTAAGACAAATTAACATTTTAATGTACTTAAAGTCTTGTTTACCACCATACTTTTTTGAAAACTGATCCCTAAGATTTACCTCTTAATGTAAAGTTGGAATTCAATAAGTTTTAGCTGCCATCATAGTAATAAAAACAATAGTAAATTTGTGTTGTTGTTTTTTACTTTGCTTACATCTATTTCCAAGTCTTTACCATTCGTTTCTATACTATACTTTATTTTATTTATTAATTTGCAGAATTCCTAAAATTATCAAATAAAATTATTCAATTCATGGTGGATTTGTCTCTACGTTTTTGTAATAATTGTGGAGTGCTAATAAATTACACATTGATTGAAGACAAATATCACATGTTTTGTCTGCAAATTTACTTATCTATCAATTAACCTTTTTTTTATGTTGTCAGGTTTTAATCTTCTGACTGTTTTTAAATGTGCTTTTGTTTAGCATTGTTTAACTCATCTTTCTCATTGCTTTTTATTATTCTCCTAACCAATCTCCATTGAGTACTTGTTAAATCATTAGCCAATCTCCATTGAGTACTTGTTAAATCATTAACCAATCTCCATTGAGTACTTGTTAAATCATTTAGAGGTTATTTAAGAAAGATTGGGAGACTCCAACAGAAATGTTGTCCATGGGCTAGTTAAATACTTTCTAAACTGTTTAACAAATTATTATTTAATAAGTAATCAAATAGTTCACCACTTTTTATTAGGTGTTGTTTATTTATTTTTACACTTTTTATTAGGTGTTGTTTATTTATTTTTACACTTTTTATTAGGTGTTGTTTATTTATTTTTACACTTTTTATTAGGTGTTGTTTATTTATTTTTACACTTTTTATTAGGTGTTGTTTATTTATTTTTACACTTTTTATTAGGTGTTGTTTATTAGGGTAGGTCGATTTTAGCTTTTTTTTTGAATTTCGAGTTGCGTAATGTTGCAGTTACTGTGTCTAGCTTAGAAATAAGGTTTTGCCAAATATCAGGTGTTCTGGTTTAAAAATGGCTTGCGGATTTACATTTCAAGACTTAATATTGGACTAGCTTTGTTAGATTGTTTATTTCAAACATTGAAATATTTTATTTTAAGTCTAGTAACCTCGTTTTAAAGTATCTCGTTTCGAATTTTTAGAGTAACCAATTAACGATATTTTAAAAAGCGCAATTGTTTTAAGAAGCCAATAAATTTTCGCTAAATCGTTTACACGCTTTTAAATTTCAATTTTGCTAATCGTTAAATGTTGGTTTTAAAATTAAATTTTTTAGTATTTAAGTATTGAAAAGTAAAGTATTTAAAAGGTTCAAATATAAAACTACAATTTAAAGAAATAGTTAAATATCAAAGGTAAATACTTATGATTAATATATTTACAGTAATGTTTTTACCTGATTAATATTACAAAAATTTTTTTTTTGCACCTTTTAAAATATAAAAGTTTCAGAAAGAACTAATGTTAACTTAATTCATAAATAACTTATACTCTCATGGGCCACGGCGACGGGGGGAAAAGGGGGCTGAGGGGCTATGGCCCCCAGATTTTTTCAAAAGGAACTTTTTTTAAAAACTAGATTTTTAGTAGTAAGTTTTGATATTTTAGGTTTTTTTGGTGTTTTTCCCCCTCCCCCACTAAAAAGTCACGCCGTGGCCCATGGCTCTAAGTGCTATACTTTAATAGAGTTTACATATATTATTAGTATACAAAAATGCCGAAAGTTACGACTACAATTACACGGATGAAAAGTGAAAAAAAGTATTGCGGTGGCCCATGTGAATTATCAATGACAGATCCAAGCACTTTTAGACAGGTTATTCAGTACTATTACTATCTAATTCATGTGAATCCAAATGCAGATATCTTATCAGTGACTCAGCAAATTAGCAATAATATAAAATCAATTTGGGCTTCAGTAAACCCAAGTTTACCTCTTATAACTGACAAATCTATTAATAGGAAAGTAAAAGATCTTCTCGTACTTGTTAAGGATATTAATCGCAAGCACGGAAAAGCAAGCGCTAAAAGAAATCTTGATGCTAACTTGGACAAACTCTTTGATATTTCTGCGTGTTCCTTTTCATTAGATGTGTTTCCCTGTAGTGATAGAAAAGTTTCTTGCAATAAAGAAAATTGCATTGAAGAACATATTGTATGCCTTTGCTCTCAAAGTAATAAAGTACCTCTTGAAGACAGAGCTTATCTTCGTGATCAGAGAAAAAAAATTGGTCCAAAAGGTGCATATCAACTTTCTTCCGTTGATAGATTATCTGTCAAAAAGACTCAAAAACTTGATAAAGAACGAAAAAAAATATTTCATAATTTAGTTGATGAAGATGAATCCCCTATACCACATGTAAACTTAGTTGAAGAAGCAAGTGGTTTATCCAATACGGAAGTAAATGTTTTATAACTACATGATATATTCGTAGTAGATGAAATATAAAGTATTTTATTTTTTTAACTTTTTTAGGATGAAGGTGAATGGAAACCAATAAATAATCCTATTGGAAAATACAACTTGGTTAAACTTCCAAGATTTGCAATGGAACTAGTTAGAAACGAGTGCTCGTCAAACGTAGGTGCAGCTCTAGCAAATGCTTTACTACATGACATTAAACATCTCCTGAAAGACGACGGTGATATAAAAGATATTTTGATTGACAAATGCAAATTAGATAGAGCCAAATCAAAAGTAAAAACTGTTACTGAAGATGTGGACTCAGAACAAAAAAAACAGTTAATTTGTCTTGGGGTTGATGGCAAGCTCGATCAGATAACTAAAACAAGTAAAATAATAAACTCACCTCAAGGAGAAATACTAAAGAAATGCATTGAACCTGAACATCACCTCACATTTACTTATGAAGATGGAAAATCGAGTGGAAATTATTTGACTCATAGGACCATTCCTGTTACTGGTGCTACAGGCTTAGTTCTTGCTACCGAAACGTTCAGTGTTTTACAAGAATATAACAGTTTGGAAAGTATACAAGCTGTTCTTCTTGATAATACAGCTACCAATACTGGACCAATAAGTGGCTTAGTGGTAAAATTAGAAGAGCTTTTAAAAAGAAAACTACACCTAATTGGATGCGCATTACATCAAAACGAACTTCCGTTACGAGCTCTTTTTATAAAACTTGATGGTGACACAACTGGGCCAAGAAGCTTCAGTGGTCAACTTGGCAAAAGATGTGCTGAAAATATTCAGGATAGAAATCAAGTTTTGTTTGAACGTATTGAAAACCCAATAGTAGATGGATATATTCCAGAAGAAATATTAATAGACCTTAGTTGCGATCAAAGACTTTTGTTTGAATATTGCAAAGGAATAGGCTTTGGTAAAGTTTCTGATAAATGGGCTGCCTATAAAATTGGACCGCTTAACCATGCAAGGTGGTTAACTCTAGCTATTCGCCTTCTCTGTTTATATACTAGAGACAATCAACCAACCGTTTCTTTAAAAAAACTTGTATACTTTATTGTTCAAGTTTATGCTCCAGCATGGTTCGAAATAAAAAAATCTTCAAAATTCCACGAATCCCCGCGCCTTATTTTTTCTACTATTACTAGAATAAATAATCTCCCCTTTGATGATGTTAAACTTAATGTTAAAAAAAACATCAAAAAAAATGCATTGTGCCTAAAACCTGAAAATATTCTTTATGCCATGCTAAAAGATAATGACAAAAAGATACGAAACTTTGGTTTTCAAATCCTACCGGCTCTAAGGCAAAGGTATTTTTTATAGTTAACTAAAATAAAGTTTTGAAAAAATTTATATTAAATGTGGTAATTGACTTCGGTTTATACTCATAGAGTAAACAACGAAATTTTGAAAGTAAATTTGATGAAAATTCCGGAAATTAATTTTAATGCTAATCATTGGTATGAGTTGGTTGACATCAGCATTACAAAAGTTACGGAGCCCCCTACAACACAACATTTTTCAATTGAGCAAATCCAATATATGATTGACAATAACGTTAAACCTGAAATTTCCGACTTTCCATCTCACTCCCAGAGTGTTGAGCGAGCGGTAAAACTAGTATCGGAAGCATCCCAATATGTTTATGGGTTCGAGAATCGACACAGTTGCATTTTAACCAAATTACTAAGCAGGAAGATGCGTAAACCATATATTTCAAAAGGACATTATTCCCATTCTTATGATGATATTTTTTAATTGAAAATATTTTTCTAAAAATATATATTCCTGTTCAAAATGTTTTAAATTGTGAAATTATTGTTTATTGTAATATTCTTTTGTAAATATAAGGATAAAAGATTCACTGATAAAGTCTTTAAACAATTAACAAGTTGTTATAAATTTAACTTAATTGTTATAAATTATTATAAATTTAAATCATTTAGCAATGCAAATAATATTAAAAACATTTTTAAAATGAACATATTTAAAACGTCAGTTTTCTCGTATAACGTTTTTTAAGGTGTTTTTTTGCGTAATCCTTCAAATCTTAAAAATTAAATCCGCAAGCGAATCTTCATCAAAAATCTTTCAAACTTTGAGGGTAATCACTTTTCAGTCTCCAACTACTGCAGTATTACGCAATATGCGGAAGTAAAATCGACCTACCCTATTGTTTATTTATTTTTACACTTTTTATTAGGTGTTGTTTATTTATTTTTACACTTTTTATTAGGTGTTGTTTATTTATTTTTACACTTTTTATTAGGTGTTGTTTATTTATTTTTACACTTTTTATTAGGTGTTGTTTATTTATTTTTACACTTTTTATTAGGTGTTGTTTATTTATTTTTACACTTTTTATTAGGTGTTGTTTATTTATTTTTACATTTAATGTTTCTTGAATGTTTAGTGCTTTATTGTTCAAATTTTTTTTTCTTTTTTTTCAAATTCTTTTATGTCATTTTATTTTAATACAGTTACATGATAATAACAGTTTATAATAAGCACCTGTTCACTTGTGTTTATTAAAAAAATTTTATGGTTACTAAAATAGAATAGTTTTTTTATTGAGTAATATGATTCATTAGCTTTTTTTTTATTTATTTTTATTTTTTACTTTTTTTTAATACATACTTTTATTTTTTTTTTTAATACATTTTTTTATTATTATTATTGTACTACTTTTTTTTTATTACATATGTTTTTTTGTTGTATATACTTATTGTATTTTTTTGTATTTTATATATATTGAACTTTTTAATTCTACATACAGTTATTGAAAAAGTGACAAAATTCTTTTAGAAGTGTAACTTGCTAAATAGTGTTTTTTTTTTTCCCATCTGTTTTTTTTTTTTTCATCACAAATGCAATAGGTAATATTTTTAAAATATGATAAACTGTATTATTAATTGCTAAATTTTAATACTAATTATTAGTTATATTGATTAACTTTTTTTCATTTTCTTTTTTAGTACTTAACAAAGAATTTTTAACGTTTATTTTGTAACATAGTTTGTTAACATTATTGAATTATATTTTAACTTCAAATTGATTTTTTGTTAACCTTGTTTGATTTTTATTAACCATTATTATAATAATCCAAGTAAACTTGCACTTTATTTAAAAACTTTTCACTTTAATTTAAAGAAACAAAAATGATAAATATATTTTTTATGTATACAATTGTTTTTAGGTAGCCATATATTTAGAAGAATTAATGCAATTTATAGATACTACAGCTATGATTCTTTCTGAAGGTAACTTTTAGACATTTTTCAGTAATATTTTGTTCATTAATCTTTCTACATTTCAGATAAATTTAACATTTCTTCATGACTCTACTTAACTTATAAAAAAAGTTCATCAAAAAGATTAAGAAAATGAAAGACTTCAATGGTGATGGTTTCACCATTCAAATATTAATCACCATTCAAGATTATTTATAAAACTATTTATTTATAAAACTATTTATTTATAAAACTATTTATTTATAAAACTATTTATTTATAAAACTATTTATTTATAAAACTATTTATTTATAAAACTATTTATTTATAAAACTATTTATTTATAAAACTATTTATTTATAAAACTATTTATTTATAAAACTATTTATTTATAAAACTATTTGTTTATAAAACTGTTTATTTATAAAACTATTTATTTAGTTTTTTGTAATTGAATGTTTGAAAAGACTTTTTATTTTATTTTCATTTGTAAAACAGTTAGTGATAGGAACGTATTAGAACAGTTAGTGACAGGAAAGTATTAAGCCAAATTTTCTTTCTCGTATATTGAGTAATGTATTACAAATTATTCTTATAATAAATTGTCTAGTACACTAATGATTTAGGTTTATTATTCTTGTACTTGTTTTTAAGTTGCTGTTAAAATTATTTACTTCTCTAACTAATGAAGTATTAAGGTAATTCTACCTATTGAAAATATATTGGAAATATATGAAATATATTTATATGAAAAATATGGAAATATATGAAATGTATAATTCTAATAAAATATAACTCATCTGTGCTTACCAAACATTCATCAATTAAACATTAAAAGCATAGCGTTGAAATCAAACATAGTGTTCATTAATTTGAAACATAGTGTTCATTAATTGATTATTTAAAGGTTTGTAAAGCTGAACTTTTTACAAAAACTAAACTAAAAGACCAGAATTTTTGAAAAATATTTTAAAGTGTTTTGTTTTGTTTTAAAATTGGTATTTACTTTTGTGTGTTTACTAAGTTTTTAATTTTTGGTTTAATGGCCTTTATACATTTTGATGCGCAAAATCATTTGTGTAAATCATGTTAGAAGATCTTTAACTTATTTAATTGTTCAACTGTCTTATTGTATTTTAAATTTAAAATAAAAATTTAAAAACTTAAATATAATAGAATTTTATTTGAATTATTGTTGTTTAAAACTGTACTACACTTGGGTAATGATAAATTAATTTGTTTGCTCTACATAATTTTACCAATTGATTCTCTTGATATTTAATGAATATTTTCCTTTACTTTTTTATTTTCTCTCAATATTTTTTATTGCCATGTTGTTCTCTCAATATTTAAGGAATATTATCTTTATTTTTTTATTTTAATCATCAGTTTTTAAAGTTATAAGTTTAAAAAAAAAAAAAAAAAAAAAGTATGAATTAGTTTCTAAGAAATCAAAAATTAACTCTAATTTTCTTTGATTACTTTCAATTTTATATATAGTAATGCTGATAGGGAATGAAACCTATAAATTTTTTTCTCTAAATGTAATTTCTGCTAAAATTTATCCTGAAACATAAAAGGTTCCCACAATGTATTTTATCCTTTATGGAAAGGGTATCCCATTGTAACTTTAATGGTTTACAGAAACTGGAGGGGTATTGTTTACAAAATATTCATGAGTCATCATTAGTCAACTTTAAAAAAATATTTTAGGTAGCATTCAAAAATCAGTGATTATATGAAATGGGAAATGGTTTAAAAAATTAATCTATAGATTTTCAATTACTCTATATTACCATTCTTTTAATGCAAAGAAAACAAACTTAGTCATATCATATCGTTGATATAACTTTAAGTCAAAATGATGCTAAATCAGGTTGTTTTTTTTGTTTTTTAATTTAGTATGGTCAAAAACAATAGCAATCCAATGTTGGCATTAAAACAGGGTAATCTATTCTGAACAAATCAGAAGTAATTTACTAAATGCTTAATAAACCATACTGTAAATAAAGAAATATTGCCTAAAAGTAATAAGTTATGTTCAATAAACATCAGGTTAAAATTTTTTACGTCTGCAATCATACAAGTTAAAAAAAACAAAAGCAGATTTAGCGTCATTTTGGCTTTTATTTCAACAATGCAATATTACTTCTCAAGTCTTTATTTTTTCTTGAATGCTAATATGTAGTAATAAAAAATCTATACAATTATGGAACCTTTCCCATTTTCCATACGGGCTGATTTTTGAATCCTAGTTAAAAAAAAACTTACAGGCGTCTTTCTTACTCTATCAGCATTAGTATATTTAACATTGAGCGTGATTAAAGAATATCACTTTTAGGCCTTTTTTTTTTGTTTTGTTTTTACAGGTTTTTTTCTCAGGCTCTTAAATACATTTATAAAGACACACAAAAAAAATTTTTTTTTTTTTTGTTAAGTCTAATTTAATTTAATTTTTTTTAATATTTTTTTTTGTGACTTACAAAAATACATATATGTTTTTGTTTTCGTGCACATTAATTGTTATATTTATATATTATAGATACTTTTATTATATACTAAAATTATTCCTATAGGAAAATTTTATCTATCAGTTTAGACTTTTCAACTTCATTATTTAAGGATTAATGCAAAAGTTTCCAATTGTGTTGGATCTAGTCATCATTTAAATCATTCTAAATATTCTATTGACTATTGGATTGACTAATTATTTATTAGCGACATAAAATTGGTACAATGTTTGAAGTAAAAAAAAAAGACCTTTCTGATTAAGTGTAGATTTTGAAAATTGAAATTAGATGAATTGTGTAATTTGTAGATTTAGCATATTTTTGATATATTTAAAGGATAAAAGAAATGGACTGGATATTTGGATAATGGAATGGATATTTGCAAATTAAATTGAAAAGTTAATGTTTTGATCAAAGGTTGTTTTTAAGGTTTAGATAGAAAAATATAGTGATCTGTGGACAGCATTTAAGATTGAAAAAGTTTTTAATAGAGTACAATGAGAAATAGTATGGTGGGCTTTGTTGTATTTAGGTGTTAAAGAATGACTTCTAACAGTTATCAATACTATGTATAAAATGATGCAATCAAAACAAAAGATGGAGACAAAACAAAAGATGGAAGTAATAAAAGTGAAGGTTCAGAACTGCAAAATGTAGAAAGAATGATTTTAAAGTTAGTTGTTTAAAAGTTTAAGCAAACACTATTATTTTTAGAGTTTGTAAGAATGATTTACAAAAGATGAAGTGGTATACAATGTGTACTTGTTGTTGGTTTTAAGTGTAGAAAATGTATTTTTAGTAATACAGAGAAGTCAAAAAATGATTTTGCTCAATCTCTCATTCAGATAGTTAACTTTGTGACATGTTTTCCAGACAATCCTGATCACTTTCCTTCACTCCTTTAATTGTATCTCTGACTTTAGCTTGTGTTCAGTGTCTTCTGGCTCCTTTAGGTGGTTTGGACCATGTAATATTCTCTCTAAATCTTTTATCTTGTACTTCTTTTTTGGACTCATCCTATCATCACGCTACTTACTACTATCCTAAAGCTAACTGAGGTTCTTTTTGTGGTTTTGTTCATGACGGCCCTTGTGCTGATGTCTTTTGTCTCACTCTGTTGATAAATGCAACTTTTATGTAATCTCCTAGATATGGTGTGGAAGATGGAAGCTTTTATTTTTTCTTGTCCGTTTCAAACCTCATTCTATTTCATGGTTTTCACCTTTACAATCTAGTTTGGTTACCATGGTTTTCATATTCTTGTGCAACTGCTATTTCAATTGTGCAATTGTCATTTTTTTTAACTTATTTATAAGAACAAGTCTCTTAAGAAGAAATATTTTTTTTTATTGCAAGAAATTAATGTAAAAAATGTTGTTTGATGCTAAACTCCATTACTCCCAATTTACTAAATCTTGTATCTTATTTCTGAAGTAAGGCCCTAGAGATTTTAGGAAAATCTTCAACAGTGTCATTAACAAAAGTATGTTTAACATTCCATCTCTAATATATGGGTCTGACCTTATCACTCCCTAAGAATAAGGCAGAACTATTTGCTGGGAACTTTTTTTCTAGTTTTTCCCTTGAATCAAATATCCACATTTTTCCTGTCACTCCAGCTAAACAGGTCAAATCATTGATAGATATCCAAATCACTCCAGCTTCTGTTGTAGAAGTCTTTCTTCTACAGTTTGTGATCTAGGCAACATCCTCGCCATAGTGTTATAAAAGTGTTCTCCAAACTACAGAAGTTCTCCAGAACTCTCTTCAATTCACTTTTTAAAAAAATTAATAAGTGCTTGACTGAATCTTGTTTTCATGCATGCTGGAAAATAGCATCTGTTTTTATCATGGTTGCTGCTAAAACAAATTATTATCTCCATCAAACAAAACTCATTTTTGCTTGACTCATAATTCAGTTAAAATGCATCCATTTACTATCCCTTCATGCTTTTATAATTTTTATTCATACAGTTTTCCTCGCACATCAATACTCATGCAACCAACAATTTTTTAAGACTTCTATCAACCATTTCTTTGCTCTTTAACAATATTCTTGTAAATATTCTTTCTTCTTGTAACCCTCAACTTATAGTTGCTGTTTTCAACCTTGCTGGGATTTAATTAGTTTAAAAAAAGGTTCAGGAGAAAAAGGTTGTATTTAAAGAAGGAAAACTTGATGGTAAGTATAAAAAAGTTTCAGTTGATGAAAAACATTCCTTCAGATTTTGTGATGACCATGATCATGAGGGTGATCATGATGACCATCATTGTCATGATTATCATCATGATTATGAGGAGGAGGAGAATAGGAAGGATGATGGTGATAATAATGGTGGTTTGTTATTGTGTAAAATTATTTATTTAAAAAAAAAATCTAATTAATTTTTTTAAATTTGTTGTAACAGTTTTATGTTAATAAGCATAACCTCTTTTAGATTTTTTAAATCTTCTTATATGTTAAATTAAATGAACAAACTTGTTTATTAATAAATGTTTTCTTGTTAAACATAATTTGTCAATTTTTTAATGAACTTAATTTAGATTCTAAAGAAACCTCCTCTACAATTGTTGCTGGCTTTATGTGTAAGCTACTATTACTTTTTTAACTTATTGTTTTCAATTTTAAATTTGTATAGTACTTTTGTCATTTATTTTAGCTTGACAAAAGTTATTTACAATGATATTTAAAATAAACTATTGTTTTTTTACTAATTATTATGTTTTTACTTTAGCAAAAGTTTTGGAATCTTTAAGTCGTAATTTAATGAATAAATCAAAAATGTATGATTCAATGGCTCTCCAATCTATTTTCATGCTAAACAACTATAACTACATTATAAAAAGTTTGCAGAAGTACGTAAGTCTTTGTAATCTTATTTTTTTCCTGAATGTACATGAAAAAAGCTAGTAAATTTTAGTTAATAAATTAAGATGATCAGAAAAGATTTTTAATTTATTTGTACATTATAAATGTTATCTAGCCATCATTGATATTTGGCAACTATTGTAGATGTTAGCCAACCATTGCAGATGTTAACCAACTATTTTAGATGTTAGCCAATCATTGTACTGTGTTAGTCGTAGAGCGCTCTTCATAAGTGAGAAGTTCTGAGTTTAATTCCCACCATGTCCCTGGCAGTACTGCTCTCAACTTATTTCACCACACAGCTGCCTTGTTTGTCAAGGTTTGTGTTTCAGAGTTATAGAGTTGAAAGGGGGTTGTAATTACAACTAAAAGTAGCCTGCTTGACTGTAGTGGCCTTCTCAGCCTTGGGAAGATGAATTAATATTTAAAAAAAATGTTAGTCAATCATTAAAGATGTTCATCAACTATTGTAGATGTTGTCCAATCATTGTAGATGTTAGCAAACCATTGTAAATGTTAACCAAACCATTGTAAATGTTATTTAAATGCTGCTGATGTCATATTGTCATACTGAAATAGGGATAATGGGCGTTTCAGTATATACGTCGACTGAAAATTAAGGTTTAAGAAGGCAGCATCTACATATGTAGATTATTTATTTATAGAAAAAAAAAGTTTCTTTTCTTGAAAAACATTTTGTGTTATGTTGTGCTAGTTACAAAACAATATTATTAAAATAAAAAGTTTTAGGTAAAAAAATGGTTGATTTTTATTTAAGCTCATGCTGATTTAAACACACATTAGCATTGTGTTTTGTTTTGTGTTATCTTGTGAATTCTATTATTTTTGTGTATATTTTTATCATCCTGTTATAAAATCTGTTTTAAATTTGTGATCAATGTACCAACATCTATTAGTATTGTGTTAAATATATATTTTAGAAACTTTTTTTTTGCCAATATAGAATCGGCATAATGAAGCTGCTTCAAGAAAATGGCCAGCCCGACCTTGAAAAACAATATGACGAAGTCATTAGAGATGAGATGGAAAGCTATGAAAAGAGGTTTATTTTTTTTTTAATTATTTCCACATGTATTGAATCACTTTTTACACATTTTTTCCTGCATTAATTGTATTACTATGTTTATAGTTGGCAAAGAGTAAGCCAGCATTTAGTGATGGATTCTTCTGACAAACTTTTAGAAAGTTCTGGGAAGGTAGTTTTTTCACTTTTTTTATATCTATTGTTTTTATATCTACTGTTTTTTTTATATTTCAAGTTCAGAAGTTTTTTTTAATTAAGTATTTTACACAATTTTATTGTTAATTGTTTTTATACAGTTATTTATTATTTTATGCCAATACTTATTTTTTAATTTGTAGCAATATTTATTATTTTGTAGAAATATTTGTTTATTATTTTATTCCAATATTTAAGATTGACATAAAGGTGACAAAACAAATATTAAAGATTATTTAAGATAATAGCTTAACTATTTGTGTTAGACAATGCAAGTATTAAAAACGGTTATTAATTAAAAAAAAGGTTTTTAATTTGTGAACTCAAAGATTTTAATTGCACATAAAACATGTGCAATTAAAATGTGAAAAATGTGAAAGAAGTTGTAAAACTGAAATAAAACAAATAAAACATAAAATTTGTTTATGATTTTATAATTAAAGGGTTATAACAACAGTTATAAAAAAAGTTAACCTCCTCAACTACACTGGCCTCTTGGACTTAAAAAGGTGAATATGGTTTTAAAAAAATTAATTGTTTTACAGAAAAACTTTTAAAACACAACTTAAATATAATTTTAAAATAGTTCTTGACAATCTTTTCACTAAAATTTGTCAATATCTTTTAATTGTAAAAAAATGTTTTTTCCTATTAAAATAGTTTCTATATCATAATGTTGATAACACACTTGTTTACTCGGTTTAATTATTTTAACTTTTTTTTAATGCATCTTTATATTTTTTTATTTGCTTATCTCTCTTTAATCCTAATTGTTTTTTATGTTGTTTTTTTTTACTTTCATTACTTTCATATTATATTCTTGTCCAGATGACATTTACACCAGATGGCATAACATTTTACACCATTTTGGGTCAATTTAAGTTTTTTGTAAAAATAAAAAATAATGCAATTTTTTCATTAGATGTTTGACACCGCAATACATAATAATTAATAGTTTGTAATTAATAACAATAAATCATCATTATAACTATTTTGATAATTTTCAATAATATTCTTTATTGGGCTTATTAATTATTTCTATTTTTATATAATTATTATTTTAAATTAGTATGAACAATCAGATTTAGGTTTTAAGCATTTATATACCATCTAAAGATAAAATATGGTTAATAATAATGAGATTTATGTACAATTATTTTTCTTTATATAAATTTAATGTTGATTTTTTGTTATATGCTTTATAATAAAACTTTTATTGTTGGTTTTAGTTACTTTAATATTGGTTTTAAATTTTTTTTCTTTAGTTGAATAAAAAACACAAGCAAGCAATTAAAGAAAAATTTAAGGTATTTTTGTTATCATTGTTTTAAAAAAAGAAAATGTTTTGTGATTTTATGATAATTGCACACCACAAGAATTATTCTTAAGCTTTGTAAGACACTTGTATCATCATGCTAATGATACTTGTATCATCATGCTGATGATACTTGTATCATCATGCTGATGATACTTGTATCATCATGCTGATGATACTTGTATCATCATGCTGATGATACTTGTATCATCATGCTGATGATACTTGTATCATCATGCTTATGATACTTGTATCATCATGCTGATGACACTTAAATCATCATGCTGATGACACTTAAATCATCATGCTGATGACACTTGTATCATCATGCTGATGACACTTGTATCATCATGCTGATGACACTTGTATCATCATGCTGATGACACTTGTATCATCATGCTGATGACACTTGTATCATCATGCTGATGACACTTGTATCATCATGCTGATGAGACTTGTATCATCATGCTGATGATACTTGTATCATCATGCTGATGATACTTGTATCATCATGCTGATGATACTTGTATCATCATGCTGATGATACTTGTATCATCATGCTGATGATACTTGTATCATCATGCTGATGATACTTGTATCATTATGCTGATGGTACTTGTATCATCATGCTGATGATACTTGTATCATCATGCTGATGGTACTTGTATCATCATGCTGATGATATAAGTATAAGTATTATCAGCATGATGATAATACTTGTATCATGACAAGATTTTTCTGTGATTTTCTGTTTATAAACTTCATTTTATCTTTTCCAGTAACTTCCAAATCTAATAGTGGTTACTTGCAGCTATGTTGGAAGTGAAGATGATTAAAAAATAATGATAATGTTATATAAAGTATATAATTCATTACATAAAATAAAAAGTTATATATAATAATTTAGAGTCTTATAATTATATATTTTATCAGTTTTTTATCAAATATTTTTATATTTTATCAATATAATGTAGAGTGTAAAAATTTAAGATTTAGTCAAATCTAATCAAAAACATTTTCATTTTAATTGGCACTCTTTTTAATTATTTTTTTTGTTGTTGCAAAAACCGTGCCTTTTAAAAAAGCATTGCATTTTGTTATGCAAATAATTTTTTTTTTTAATGTTTTTCATTTTAGTTATAATGATAATGCTTTTCTTTTATAAACAACTTTGCAAACCATAATGTCATTAATGTTAAGTGATATTACACTTTCACACCAAAGGTTTTAGGAAAAGAAATATCTCTGCAATGCTTATCTGTCTTTGAAAAGGAAAAAAAATTCTCTTTTCATTTCAGGGTTAATTAACAGGACTGAGACAATTGCATAGCTTATTGTTTAGGAGGCTGTGCTCTATTTATGAATGAGTCAAGTTCTCTTTAAACTTAAATTATGCCAAAAGTAACCCAAAATATTAAACATAAAAAACCGTCCGCACTACTTAAATGTTTTAATATATCTTTTGCAAATATTCTTTGCTCCCATCAGTTGAATCTTACCTCTTGAAAAATTTACCAGACTTGTTTGCTCTTAGTGAGACTAATTTAAATTCTTTTATTCCTTTTAAAGATTTCAGTGTTGATGTGCACTATCCTTTGATTTGCAAAGGTTCCAATAATCTTTTGCTTGGCTTTGTGGTATACATACATATCAATTCACCTATTTGTCATGAACTCAGGTTCGAACCTTTTGACCATTCTTTTATGTGTTTCTGCTTAGCACCTCTTTACTCTATCACCTTTCTCTTTGTTCTTTATTGTTCTCATTCCCAAGACTATACTCTTTTAGATGTAACTTCTGATCAAATTGAGCATACCCTCTTATTTTACCCCTCTGTCAATATTGTTGTTATTGCTGACCTGAACATTCATCACACTGAATGGCTTAGCTATAACGACACTGACCTTGCTGGAACTAAAGCCTATAACTTCTGCATTTCTCAATCTCTTACTCAGATAGTTAACTTTGTGACTTGTTTTCCTGACAACCCTTATTATTTACCTTCATTCCTTGATTTATGTCTTGTCTCTGATTCTAGCTTGTGTTCAGTTTCTCCTTTTTCTCCCTTAGGTGGTTCTGACCATGCAATGATCTTTTTAAATCTTTCACCTCGTACTTTCTTTTCAGACTCACCCTATCATCACTCTACTTACTACTATCCTAAAGCTGACTTTAAAGGATTCTTTTCGTGAATTCTTTTCTTTGTGACGGTCCTTTGGTTGATGTCTTTTCCCTCTCAGCTAAAAAATGTGCCTCCTACGTACCCTCCTGGATTCAGACAGGAATAGAAGCTTTATTTTTTCTTATCGGTTCCAAGTCAAGCTTAATTCTACTCCATGGTTTTAACCTTCTTAAGTTAAAACCATGGAGTAGAATGTGGTATATGCAGCTGCTATATCTAATTGTAATCATTTTTTCGACTTTTTCAAAAGAACAACTCTCTTGAGAACAACTGGCTAATCATTATTGCAAGAAATCAATGTCAAAAGGTGCTGTCTGATGCTAAGCTCCATTATTCTCAGTTCACTATATCTTGTACCTTATTGCAGAAGTTAGGCTCTAGATACATTTGAAAAATCTTCAACAGCGTCATTAACAAGGGTAGGTCTGACATTCCATTTCTCATTCATCTGACTGATCTTATTATCTTATTATTCAGACAGAACTTTTTGAATAGAACTTTTCTTCTAATTCGGCTCTTGAATCTTATTTGTCTTTTTTTGCCTTCCTTCTATTCCAATTAAACAGGTTAACCATTGTTAGACATTCAAATAACTCCAGCTTTCATTGCTAAAGTAATATCTTAATTCAACTCTTCTACAGCTTGTGTTCCAGATAACATTCTTGTCATAGTCTTACAAAATTGTTCTCCAGAATTCTCTTTAATTCTCTAAAAACTATTTAACAAATGCTTGACTGAGTCTTGTTTTACTTCCTTCTGGAAAATGGTATCTGTTGTTCCAATTTTCAAAAACTCTGGTGAACATTCTGATCCCTCCAATTATCGTTGGATCAGTTTTCTTTCTGCTATTATTATAAAAGTCTTTGAATCTTTGATATATAAATTTCTCTCATTCCATCTTGAGTCAAATAAGTTACTATTAGACAATCAATACAGTTTTCGATCTTCTCACTCTATGGCTGACTTTCTAACTGCTGTGACGGAATAATTTTATTGTGCATTAGAAGGAGGCTGAGAGGCTAGGGCTATTGCTCTTGTGATATCTAAAGCTTTCTACAAAGTTTGGCATGCTGATCTTCTCTATTAGCTTGTTTCATATGGTGTATCTGGAAAAGGTTTGAAGATTATGAAATCGTTTTTTTCTAACTGCTTTATTAAAGTCATCCTAGAAGGT